ATATATATATATGTGTGTGTGTGTGTGTGTGTGTGTGTGTGTGTGACACACACTTTAACACACACTTTAAAAAATTCACTTTATTTTACATGCATTTTATTTGAACAAGTTACTCTACCTTTCAAAATTTTGGGGTTGATATGATTTTTTTGTTTGTTTTGATTAAAGCTTACACTCAAAATTGCATTTATTTGATTAAATGCAATAAAAAGTGTAGTATTGTAAACTATTGTTACAATTTAAAATAATAAATATTGTTACATGTAATATATAAATGTTATATGTTATTGTTATATGTAAAATAAAAATAACTAATTTCAATTTTAATATAGACTGTATGACAGTGTAATTTATTCCTGTGATGGCAAATATCAGTTTTAAGTAGCCATTGTCAGAGTGACACATCTTTACTCTGTTAATTTTGATCATTTTATTGCACCCTTAATACATTTCTTTAAAAAAAAAAAAATCAACCTGACTCCAAACCTTTGAATTAGTAGTGCACTTTTTGAAAAAACAAATAATAAAAATAATTGAAATTAATAATTTTGCAAATCAGTTTTGGTGTTTTACTGACTATAAATGTTTCTGAAATTATTAAAACAAGATGTCTAACATGTAATTTGATGTCAATCGTATGAGAAGAACATGATCCGTTTTTAAATTAATTCATTTTATTCATTCTTTTTTAGGTCTTTTGTGTACTTCATGCTTCTTTTAGGCACATTTATTTGTGAAGGTTATCAGTTGTGGATCTCCATGAGAATGGTTTGCAGACACAATCAGGAAGACCATATAAAGAAATACACACAGTTAAAAACAAAAAAACATATTACATGTTTTGATGTGGTGGCAAAGAGATTAGACATTTGGAGTTCCCACAGAAGGAAATGCGTACATTGGCTTACCACAGTTTTAAAATGAAACATAAAACATTTGTTCTCATGACTCAAACCTTGCCAAAAACGTTATTTTCTACGTCAGAGGTCTTCAACTCAGTTCCTGGGAACCCACTATCCTGCAGAGTTTAATCAAACCCACCTGAAGCACCTAATCGAGCTTTTCTGGATTGCTTGAAAATACATAAGCAGGTGTTGGAATTGAACTTTGCAGGACAACGAGTCCTTCATTGAAACATTTCTCATTTATAGAAGAATAGAGTAGAATAGAAATAATAGAATATTTGTATTTGGAATAAAAAACAATTAATGGACCAACTGATTGATTTTCCACTCCTTATATTACAGGGCACTGTGTTCAGCCTGGATGAAGCTGAGGACCCTGGCGTGATCATAGCCGAGGACAGTAACGACATCTACATCCTGTCAGGTGAACAGGCCTCAGATCAGCTGAGCCCTCCTGCTTCACTACTGACTCTTGGAGATAGCAGTGGGCCAGCTTCCTGGCAGACAGAGAGTCTTCCAGTGTCTCTGACAGGACACGAGTCTTGGGCGCAGGTTGGCATGATGGACCCAGAAGACGCCAAGAGTCTGGACAGCGCCGAAGGAGTGGCGTTAGTCGAGGAGCAAAGCGAGAACAACTCCTCGAACTCTGACATCGTCCACGTGGAGCGTGAAGATGCCGAACTTCTAGAAGAAGGTGGGGAGACGGTGGAGGAAGGTGAGCTGCAGAGTAGCGTACTTAGCGTGCTGGGCAGTGAAAGCGAACTCGCTGCTGTGCGAGAAGAAGCACCAACCGCAGAGCCAGTGCAAACCACAACTGAGCCGACTGTGGAAGAGATCCCTCCAGCTCCAGCCTCAGAGCAAGAGCACCCAGCTGCCCCTGCTGCTGCCTCGTTCCCCGTGCCTGAGCCTGAACCTGAACTTCAGTCTCAGCCTGTTCCAGCTCCTGTGGAGCCACAGTCATCTCCCCCACCTGATCTAGAACCTGAAGTGGTTCAAGCAACCCTGGAGCAGGAGATACTTTCAGAGGTGGATCTGAAGGCCTCCTCCCCGGCCCACGACCTCCCTGTCCCGACCCCTCCTGAGGTGCAGACGAAGTCAGTGCCACAGCCCGAGTCCTCTGACCTCCCTGTGCTGCTATACGGCGGTGCTGCCCTGGTGGCCATCGCTGCAGTATTGGCTTTTGGAGCGCTGGCCTACAGGAAGAAGTAGAAAGTCTGTGACTGTCCCTGACCTCACTGTATCTCTTGCCCTAACGGAAGCCCTGTGGGTCACAGTGCTGCACTTTATGGGAAAACTACTCCTCTTATGTCATACCATTTTATTTTCTGTTCTCGTTGCTTTTATTTGTTGGCTTAGTCCAGCTTAATGACTGGAGAGGAATTTACAGGTGAAGTCAGGTTTCTTTTGTGCTGTATTAGTAAACATAGTAGTGATTGGTTCACTAGGCTGTGACCTAGGGTCCTGGTTCCAAAAGGAACATCAAGGCTTCTGATTCAGAAGAAGTAAGTTCATTTGTGTTAGTGAAGCATGTTTATTCTCGTATATAAATATTTGATTTAATGAAGTTAGGTTTGACTTTTAAACACAAGCTTGTGGGAGTGCATGATTATGATTTTATCTTATCAGACATGAAATATTAAAGTGCAAATCTTTATGGGCTGTGCTCCTCAGATAGATTGTGTGACTGATATTCTCCCAAAATATATCAGTACTTGTACAAGATTACTCGCAACAACCGAAAGCAAAGTATCCATGCATTCTTGATTCATTTAGACATTCATATTAACCATCTTTAGTGTATATTTTGAATAAATTAGGCTTGCATGAATCCTTTTTTTGAATTCCCTTTTAAAAGTAGAAGCCTAGGTCACAGCCTCAAATGGGAAACCCCTTCTCTTTGACCGATACATTTTGTTTAAGGGATTGTCATTTCTTAATGTACAGCAATTCGATATAATGTGAACATTTGTTCTGTTAGGTACAAAACATTTTTGTAAAAACTTGTGAAAATACTACACCAGCAGAGTCAATATTGCCATGGTGACAGGGCACAGTTGACTGAATTTATCCCAACGTCAGGAAGCGGAAGATAATGCTAGATGAAAAGTCATATTTAGTTTTCTAATATGATGTTTCTAAGCATGCATTTTGTAATTAAATGTCCCTAATTCTGGGTCAGAAGCAATTTCAATAAAATCTTGTGAAATATTAAAATGAGTATATGATGAAATGTTACACTTGTGGTTTAATCTTAAACCACCATGATTTAGAAACATCCAAATGGGTTTTGTAATTCTAGAGTAAAAAGTGATTTGCTGTGGTCGGTAACATTAACTGGCTATTGCTCAAATCAAGTGCTGACTTCAGGTTTGGGGGACCAGAATGTCTCTTAAATGTCTTCTGAGCCACACCGATCAGTCATCGGTCCTTTGCAGTTTTTCTCTGTCTCCTCAAACATAGTATTTTCTGTCTTCTCTGTCTCTGATTTACACCTTGCCTGTACCTTGTGCTGTTGTTTGTCCTTGAAAGCTAAAAAGGCCTGCACAGCACAGCCTTGTCACCCTCCTTTCCCTGTTGTGTGCCTATCTAAAAGAGACCCTGGTCAAAACAACAGAAAATGTAAGCAGAAGTCACACGTACAGGCAGGATCCACCTGTTTTGTCTGAGAAAACGTCAGAGGAAAAAACTTGCTTTTTTTTTTTTGCAAGTGATGTTTTTTTGCATCAGAGATGGACAGAAGCTGTGAAATAAATCTGTATTCCATCAAGGGTTAACCTTGTGGTTTGTGTCCTGATTTAAGCATGAATTTTATCTTGAAGAAACATTGCTTAAAATTAAAAAAAGACACACCCAACGCTAAGATAGAAATTAAGTTTGCTTCCTCTATTTTGTACTGATATGAGTCAGATTTGTTGTAATACAAATGAGACGGTTGATCATGTGATATCCTTTACAGACTGAATGAGAAGAGATCAAGAGTTTATGAGATTGAAGGAGATCAAAAAGTTGTCAGAGAAGAGAATGCATATATTTTTTCACAAATTTGGTTTAATGCATAGTTTCCCATTTAATCAGGATATTATTTTTCCATGGCAGGTAAAGAAACAATCAAATGCCTAACAAGACCATAAAACTTAACATGGCCAAAGTGGCAAAAAAAAGTGAATCACAGACAGTATTACAAGGGAATATATAGAAAAAAGGAAACGTTTTCAGAAAAAAACAAATATTCCATAAGGTATTGCTAGCATTTCAATCTTGACTATCACGTTAAGCAAAGAATATACATTTGTCTTTACAGGCAAAGATTTCAAATGTATCATTTATCTATACACATATATTCACATTGCATATATGAATAACTGGAACACAGAGCTCATCAGTGGGATCTGTGTGGTAAGAAATACTGCACCACTGTGCCGTAAAGACCAAACAAAAATTGAGGCACATGTTCACAAACAGTCTTCATAAGCACAAAAGTGAAGGCCATCTCCACAAGTTCCTTCTTAAACTCTTTGGCACCTGCCACCTGGTGAAATAAGGCCTGCACTCCATCAGACAGATGTCCGCCCCAAAACTGCGAATGTTTAAGGAATATTGTAAATGGTGTTTCCAGTTTTAAGGAGCAACCATTAGTGTATATGTATAATTAGTTAGTTTGCAATACAGCAATTGGTCTCACCTGCTCTTGAGATCTGCATAGTTTCTTGGTCAAACTGTCAGCAGCTTGGGACAGGACTTTGTGCTCAAGCAGGTCTGCAATTCTGATCAACTCTGCAGCCATTTCCCTCACTGCCTGAGCCTCTTCAGCATTGACTGAGATGGAGAGATACATTAGCAGCATTAACAGACTGACAAATATATATAGTACTTTTTATATAACTTATAATTAGGCATGCAAAATTTATCAGTGCCAGCCAACTTTGTATATTTAAGGTGACAGTCCACCCAAAAATTACATTCTGTCATTTACTCACCCTCATGTCATCCCAAACCTGTATGACTGACTTTCTTCTGTGAAACACAAAAGAAGATATTTTGAAGAATGTTGGTAACCAAACAGTTTCGGTTCCCATTGACTGCTATTTTTTTACCATACAGTGGAAGTCGGTGGGAAGTGAAACTGTTTGTTTACCAACATTCTTCAAAATATCTCCTTTTGTGTTTCACAGACAAAAAAAAAATCAGTCACACAGTTTTGGAGAGACATTAAGGGAAGTAAATTGTGACAGAATGTTTACTATCCCTTTAATTGTGGGCACTCATTTCCAATTTTTATATTTTAGATAACTTTTGCTGTCATCTAGCCCTAATTTGATGGTATAGCGCTAGATTACAATAAATATTTAGCATTTTTTAAAGTTCTTTCCATACAAATGATGTGAGCTTGACAAAAAAATAAAATAAATAATAATAAGTATGTTTTAATTAAATTAGATAAAATATCAGGTATTTATAATCAGTTATCAGCAATAATGTGAAAAGAATCATTGGTTTATTGGTATTAATTAAGGAGCACCTTTAATTAAAATAAGAGGAAATAATATACCTGGTAGTTGAGGCTGAACTTGATTCTGAAATTCATGTACAAGTTCTCTGTAGCTGACTGAGAAACTGTGTCCATCCGCTTGTAATTCCTCGTCACTCTCAATATAATTGTGATTTGTAGGCAGCTTTAGCTGTTCATCAAGATAATCGAGCTCTCTTTGAAGCTGGCTATTTTGGCAGCCTTTTTGCTTAAGGAAGGAAAGGAGCACCAGGGAAGTGTCTGGAAAACTGTCAAGGTTTCTGTTGCAGTCCATTGCACAAACCCAAATCCGTACAATGCCTCATACAGGTGCACTGCAATTCAAGAAAAACACAAAAGCAATTAGTTTCAATATCATGATAATATTAAAAGAAATGAGTCGCTGCCACTGTTTTGCAATTTGCATGCTGTTGGTCAGATAACGATTTACAAGACTGTACATGGCCTGATCAACATATTTAAATATATTAAATACTTTACCATAGATACAAATTTATACTATGCAGTATGTCTGTGTCTAGTTAACCATATTTAGGGGATAAATGTGAACCCAGAAGTGAGCTACAACTGACAAAACCTACTTTTGGGGACATCCTTGATTGTAAAAACTATTAAAAAACAAAGGATTTTACATTTGTAAACATGCATAAAGTTTTCTGTTAGGCAAACTCTTTTAACCCATGACTTTAGCGTTGCTAACGCTATGCTCCACTGTCTAAGCTACAGGAATAGCTGTATGTAATACATTACATATAAATGTATTACAGCTGTATAAAAAAAAACAATATCTATCGATCTATAGACTGCTATATAGCTAAATAAACGTAATCGTAAATAAAGTTAGTCCGTGGTTGTACGACTGTAGGAGTTCGCCAGCTCTCAAAAACCAGCTAATTAGCAGCTGATAATATTAACTGTTTATTAGCCAACATTGCTAGCTAACATTATTGTGATTGGGGGTAATTTATACACATTTTAAGGACGTTCAGATGACAGATTTAACCGTTACAGTGAGTTCGGGTCACCGGTTTTTGCAGAATAGAGATCGGTTTTAAAAAAAGATTCTCAGATCAAAACAAAGTAAGATAAATCTGCAGTCCAAGTTCATCTCTAGGGACCACACAAATGACACCTAACGTTAGATGAAGCTCAATGATTAATGCAGTTAAAATATAAAATACTAGCCAGAGGTAGAGCACTTCTGAACAGTACAGGAAACGTCAGTTAAACTGAGGGAAGCGTGAAATATTAATCTATAATCTGGGTAAATATAACAATAAACATGTTAATGAATGTTTATATTTAAAGAAATTGCATTAACTGTCGTAACACTATCCACAGAACCTATGATAAACACTTGCTAGGCTACGATCTAACGTTAGTAGCAAAAGTACCGGTGGTGTAACTTACTAATTTAATACTACACTAAATATTATTTAATTATCCTTTGAGGCACGTTTAAACCCTGTCTATATATGTGTCAACTGCTCAGATCAAAACAAAGTAAGATAAATCTGCAGTCCAAGTTCATCTCTAGGGACCACACAAATGACACCTAACGTTAGATGAAGCTCAATGATTAATGCAGTTAAAATATAAAATACTAGCCAGAGGTAGAGCACTTCTGAACATTACAGGAAACGTCAGTTAAACTGAGGGAAGCGTGAAATATTAATCTATAATCTGGGTAAATATAACAATAAACATGTTAATGAATGTTTATATTTAAAGAAATTGCATTAACTGTCGTAACACTATCCACAGAAACTATGATAAACACTTGCTAGGCTACGATCTAACGTTAGTAGCAAAAGTACCGGTGGTGTAACTTACTAATTTAATACTACACTAAATATTATTTATTATCCTTTGAGGCACGTTTAAACCCTGTCTATATATGTGTCAACTGTACTTACTTTCCAGTGAAAAACAAACATTCGTTACTTACGTAGACTTCAAGTCAAAACATCACATAATAGCGAACACTGTCGCCTGATAAACAAACACAAATGTGCTACGAGTCTTGAGAGAAGAATCCCCCGCCTTCCTGCGTCACCCAGGATGACGCTTCACAGAAAGGCGTGGTCAAAATCCAAAGAAACGCAAAAACAGTGTTGCCAAGTCCGCGGTTTTCCAGCGGACATTTTTGTTACTTTTACAATGTTGCCGCGGGATGTTTTTCATGTCCGCGGGTTGAAGCGACCCCAATAACGTGATATTTAGCCCCTGGAACGCGACTTTTACCAGGGGAACCTGGGGGGGACTGTGAAAACCTGGCAACCATGAAAAAACGAAGAATTCCCCTAGTAATAGATAGTCTTTAATAAAAAAAAAGTGTTGTAGGATGTTCTCGTTGTTTACTTAACATTTAAAAGGCATACAATTATGTGTGACCTTTCTAAATGTAGCAACTGCCGAGAATGACTCGGCAAGGCAAAGATAAAGACACAATTTGCGATGTGGGCACGCGACTTTATCCTCGTTCTTTTAACTTATTTTCACTTTAGGACAGAGGGGTTTTTGGAAATGGAGTTCCCCTTCTGTTAGACTGCACATGCTAGATAATGGATCCTGAGGAAGAGATGCCTGAGAAATAAGTACACTATTGGCAGAGCAGTAAATACCAGACTAAAGCATTCAGACTGAAACATAGTCATAGATTCTACCACGGCCAATGTCCAAGACAACATTCGAAATCCCTCCTATCTAAAAATTGTACATCTGGAACACCCGTTGTAATAAAATGTCAGAATAATGGGTTTTTGTTGAGCATTTTAACAAACAAAAAAAAAACTTACTAAAAGCAAGGTCATCTGTTTGAGAATCACTTTACTAGGACATCTACTAGTCGCCCCTTGTGCTCAATACAAAAAAAAAACACTACCTGGCAGACATAATTGTTCCTCCCCCCCACTCCCCACCACCCACCTGAAGTGTGATGTTGCGGACTCACCATGGCACAGATTAGTCTTTGCACTTGACCACTTACATGACGTATTTCCTTATTTGAAGACCACAAGTGTGTGGAAATTTACATTACCCAATGGGACACACTTTAGAGTATTGTAAAAATGCAAGTGTTTGCTGAGCTTTTTGATTTTCAAAGCTTTGAAGAAAAAAACCCCGTAAAAATGGATTGCACGTT